CATGTTGAGTTCGAAGTGGCACATATTACTTGAAATAAGAACCACCACTGAAATCATTACAGTGTCATATCCTTTGGGAGGGAAGGGGGTTCTGGAACAATTCCTTTGTGTACATTTTCAGTTATTAATTCATAGCAAGTAAATCTCTGTTTATAAATTCAGTATAAAAACACCATTTGTTTCTATCCCATCCTGCTTTCCCTGAGCACCCACAATTTATGCTAATGTCAGCAGGATATTATGAAGCCCAAGTGTTGCTGGAATACACTATTGAATACTGATTAACGTGCCCAAGATATAGTTCTGTGTTGTGAAACCGTCTCATATATCCACTATGTTTCTTTACATGCAACATACATGCCTTTACGTGCGTATCACCTACTTCTACCTAGATAAAGCACATGCATGTCTCTACACATAGAAGAGGTCTGGCTCTCCTATTGCTTACTTCAGTGTAAATCAGGAGCAAACAACAGTGGAGCCAACTATACTGGTGTGACAGCAGCATCAGAGATTTACACAGAAAAACACAGGTATATATATATATGTATTATACACATACATATGTGGTGAGGGTATCTACAGGATAAAATAAATCACCGGCAATTGTTCCTATCCTCTTCCCACTGATCTTATATACCAAGCCTTCTAGCAACTTAACGATATGGTAAAGAAGCATATTTGTATATCTCTTAAACATCAGAGGTTCCTCCCAACTGACATCAGCCTGTACTACACATCGATAATATTCAGTCCTGTGCCAGTCACATGTTTATAGTTCAGACTAATCTTGCCAACCTGCAGAGCCTCACACTGTTGAAAAAGGGAAATTTTCAGCTTTCTCTTGGAACTTAACACTTCTAAATTAGGTCCATTCTGTGATATTCAACCTCATTATAATGCATGGAAAACATTTTTAGGTCATATTTGAAGATACTAAAATGTTATATTTTTCCTCCCTTTGCCCATCCTGACACTTCAGAAGTTGCTTTAGGGTACTAGGGCAGCCTAGGTTTACAGGTGAAAGCATACTAAAAATAGTTTCAATTGTTAATTGTGAAGTCATCTTGCTTTTGGTAAAACATATAGTAAACACAAAGTAGATGATGAAGCAGTGTGAGAAAAAGGTTTTGTTTGTACTTGTTTGAGAAGACCTATGTAACTCACTCATGTCTATTTCAGCTGTGAGTCCTGTGGCCATCACAAACTCAAGCTGATAAAAGGATTTCTTCTTCTACTGTTTATACAGCATCTGGAATAACAGGCTCCCAGTCCTGATTGGGTTAGGTTCGCAGCTGCTACTGCAACGTAACTATTACATAACAATTAACATAATTGTGTCACAGAATTGGAAAGACTCTCTTTGCACAATATGCACATCCTACAGAAGTTGTGTGTATACACTTATATGCATGTGTGTGATCACACTACACAGGGTAAAAAACTCAATTCATGTAGCTCTACTGAAGTCAATAGACCCACACCATTGTACATCTGCTCAGGTCTAGTCAATAGTATTTATTAACACCAATAACAATTAAAGGTACAGGGGAGATTTTTCAAAGGCCCAGGCAGTACTCTTTTGAGAATCTGTCCCAGAGAAATGTCTGCCCAATTGCCAATTGCAAGTAATTATTACTTTTTTACTTTGAAGAAATGTCTGGTGGGATAAAATCAGGACCACTGTGCTGGGCACTATACACACACTCAGTAGGAGGCAGTGTCTTCCCAAGGGCCAACAATCACAAGCACACAAATTGTGAGAGAGGATACACAGAGAAAGAAGGCAACATCTTTCTGAGAAATTTAAGTGACTCATTACCTCTGAAAATCTCATTGAAAGCTACTTGCCCAAAGTCACACACTATAGATCAATACCAGGGTAGGAAAATAATTCTCAGGCCAGTGCCCCATTCATTGGACCATGCTGGCTCTTACAGATCCTGTGTATAACATTTCTGACCATGCTATGGAGAGTTGCCCTGAAATCAAACCCTGCCCACTTAATCTGTCTGTGCACACTGTTTGTAGCTGTATGCAGATGTTGTTTGGTCCAGACCTGCTCTCAGGCTCAGGACTGCCTATCTTGGCTGTAGGTAGTGCAGACATGGCCACGGTTTGATTTATACTCCTTTAAAGTGGCAGGTGTTAGCATGAGGATTTCCTTTGTTTTGAGAGTCCCCATTCAGAATGGGGGCTTTACTGTTCTTCAAACAAACATATATGGATAAAGCCTTTGTCATGGAGAATTATTTCCCTTTATAATGCTCTGAAGTCCCACTCCAGATGCTGTCATCATTCTAAAATATAGGTAACATGCTATTTCCATGTCATTCTTGCTGCTAACTCTTACCAGCAAAATCACTCCCTCTACAGATCATAACGGGAACAAGAAAACAATAAATTCCTCCATTTTTAAAAAGACACAGTACCGCCAACTTAATTAACTTATAACTGCAATGCATTTGCTATGAACTACTAGCCAACAGCTTCAAAGGAGTCCAATTAAATTTTATGTTGGAAAATGTAAAATTTCCTTTTTCTTTTTCTCCATTATCTGAGGCCTATTTAATTTGGATTTGTATTTTATTTCTATTGTGTTGGTGTAAAAGATTAGTCAACATTTGGAATGTTTTGCAGACATCCTAATACCTCAAGCTTGTACTTCTTAATATTCGCATAATATGCAGATTGTGCAGTGCTTCAGAACCTGATTGTAGTTACTGGGGTCCCTGGTGTGGGTGGAGCAGTTTTCATTCAATCAGTTGCAGGAGTCAAGCTTACTTTTCTAAAGGCTTCCAAGTCTTTATGGCTTCTGTTCTAAAGGTTGCTATTTATAAAAAATATCACCTCATTCAGGGAAGCTCTGCTTAAAACTTATGCACATGCTCTATAAAAAAAATCAGGTTATACTTGGGTAACAAAATAGAAATACACTACAATTAAAAGAGATTTATTTTTAAATTACTCAGCATGTTCTCACCTGTGACAGCAGTACCTTTTCCACTGAATGCTGTTATTTTTTATTCATTGCTTCTTGACGGACAATTTCTAGCATCATACCCCTCATATCTTCAGAACTGGCATTACTTCACTGAATTCAACTGGGCTGCATCAATTTATACCAGCTGAGGATTTGGCCTTTGGCACTCTAGAATGGGGAGCGTCAAACTCACCTGGGGCTCTGGGCTGGCTCCTTGCGGGCCACATGCAGCCCAAAGTATGAGAGCTGTTGCAGTGGCCATTACAATGGCATGAGATCCCATGGCAATGGGGACAATGACAGAGCAGGTTCCAGTGGCAGCCAGAGTGGGGACAGCAAGGGCCCAGCAGCAGGACTGTGGAATCTGGTGGCTACAAGCCAAGATCGCCACTGATGGCAATGCTCTACAGGGCCAAAGGGCCTAACTTCCAGTGCCCTTCGGTAACCCGGTGAGCTAGATAGAGTGGCTCCTTGGGTCTAACTGGTACATGGGTTATACATTCGTTTGACACTCCTTCTCTAAAATGTACTTTAAAAACCTGAAAGAACTGATAGTTATGGACAGGCTGCTGTAATGCAGTGGGCTCAATAATGCAATGAGTCATGCAGAATATACAGTAGCCCATTCACTGGTTTTCAGGAAACATCAATGTTTTTATTCCCTTTTTCTTTTCATCTATTAAGGACTGCACATGCTTGCAGACATGAAAATGAACCCAAAAAGCAACACGTTACTTTAAACCCCATGTGCCCCCGCGCTGAGCCCTGCACATACCCAGAAGAGGCATTGAGTTATTTGGACTCAGCTTTCCCAATGTCTGTATAGACCGGGCACTTTAGTGGGCTTTTTTGGCATTTTTATCTGATAGCTGATTGAATCAGCTTTAGATAAAAGCACCAAAAAGCCCTGCTGAAATGCCCAATCTATACAGATGCTGCAGAACCAGGCTGAAGTAACATGCTGCTGCTTTTGGTAAAGAAAGTTTTTTTCCACATCTATTAGCACCCTATCTGTCTCTCTTTGCACAGTCAGTGCACACCAGAGTATATCTTGAAAAGATTCACAATCAAATTAGTTGGATTACTTGTTTAAACCATGGGATCCCAAACTGTGGTATGCATCTCTGGTGGGTAAACAAGAAAAATTGTGTTATGGCAGATTTCATTTTCATTATAATAATAACTGGCGTTAAAGGGATTCAAATATAAAAATGTATGCTGGTAAGAGTACATGGGCAGCTGGTAAATGTGGAAGGAGGTATGCAATAATAAAAAGTATGGGAGCCTTTGGTCTAAATACATTGGTTAACTAAGGAGGCACAATCACCACAGTTGCCATTGCCTGGGAACAGGAGAAGGTGTCCTTGCTAAGAGGAACTGTTTAGTTTAGGACACAAAATTTGAGCCAACCATACCATGAAGTAGTAAACATGCAATTGTCTTTAAGGGTGGGGGAGGATACTGACTTAACTTCTTGACTGTAATGAATAGGACTCAGAGGTTAGCCTTAATTCAAGGGATGGCAGTAACACAGCCTACACATATCCAACCAAGTAATCCACCTTACTTCACACACAAGAGTAAATTGATATATAAAATAAACTACAAATCCTTAGAGAAGGGGAAGAATTTCCCCTGCTCCCCTTTCTATTGTTACAGTCCCTTTTGGGAAAAAAAATCAAACTTGGCTAAAGGTTAATAATAATTCATGTCCAGCTTACTATTACTCAATAACTATCAAAGTCTCTAACTCAAATAGTGTTTTCTGGCTTACAGGATCAGAGCCATTACACTCTCTATTGAAGACTTTATTGAATTTTACACTAAGCTTTAGCTGACTGAACAGGTCAAGCACTGTGGCTCAGAGTTTTCTTTATTCTCAGAAACTCATAAACCCCTCTCCAGTTTGCAATGCTGTTAGCTAAGAAACTTGACTCAGCACAGGGTCAGAGAACCTGACCCCCATGAAAAAGGTCACATAGTTTTAAAACCCAGTTCCTGAATACCATTAACTTACATGCACTAGCTGTTCCTGCGTGTCAAACTCTTGTGAACAACCTTCCCAATGGCAGTTTGTCTCATAGACCACTTCAGGCTCCTGCTTGCTTTCATCCTTGTCCCCTTCCTCCTTTACTAAGGTCATTCCTTCTGGCTGTTCCTGAAGAGGAAAAGAATGACAGAAGTGAGCAGAAGAGAGAGGAAACCCTTATAAAGAGGTGGAAGAAAGGTGAATTACTTTAGTATTAAACAACAGGTACTGGGGGAAAAGGCTTAATATGAATTATTTTACTTTTGATTCAGATAAAACAGAGAATCCGCCAATCAGGCCTAGCTTACTAACCAAGGAAACAGCATATTTTTTTAAGACTTCCCTTTGATAATACTATTTTTGAATAGTGTCGTATGATATGAATTGATAGGGAAACAGGAAAAAAATGGGATAGGAAGATCAGGTTCAGAAGAATAATTTGAATCTGCTGCTGTTGTGTGTCACTTGAATAAGTGATGATAAATATGAGGAAGTCTGGGGTCAAACCCCTTTTTTTTAAGAAAAGGAGTCACATGAAATGAATGTAAAATCACAACATAAATGTTCTGATTCTAATAGTCTTATGTGCATTTAGTAACACCTTGTTTAGACAGACAGCCCTAATAAAATCACTATTATTGAGTAAGATATTATTCAGCGTGGATAAATATACCAGAATATGGCCCAAATGCTATGGTTGCAGAGGTAAGCAAGGTCACCAACTACCTAAAACATGTTTTATTCTGAAGTCAGTGAAGGGCTTTGAATACAAAACTCCTTTCAGATCAGTCTGCTAATTTGAGGATATTTGAGAGATCCATATTGTGTGTTGTTTCTTTTCCCTTTGTTTTATTGTTTAGCCTCAGTTCTTAAATAATCTTCATTCTTTCCTGCCTGTTATTTGCCCATGTTGAGTCAGATGTAAAGAGTCCCTCTAAACATTTGTTTCACATTATGAAGTCATGCTATTTTTCACTTCAAACCTCTCTTTAGGAGTGGAATGGAGGAGGGCTGTTTTGTTTTACAGATGTATTCAGAAGACTGAGGACATGAGTTTTATCTCACCTACCTCAGTATAAATCAGGATTTATTCTAATGAAGCTGGCAGAGTTGCATCAGTATAAAAAGAAATTAAAATCATAATCTGAGGTTCAATAAAGCCATCACAAGTCAATGTGACTTAAACACGTGCTTAACCTTAAGCATAAACATAAATGCTCCACTGAGTATGAATCATGTGCTAAATAAAGGCTTGAGTGCCCTAGGTTCATCTTTTATTATGATACAGCAAACAGACTAAAAACTCTGCTAAAGGCATATACAGGCAAATCTCCCCCTGCTCAATCATACAGCAGAAGAGAAGTTACTGCTTACATTTAATTCTATGATCAGGCATTATGGATTGATGCAGCCTGGGTGTGCATTAGGCTAAATGCCATGAAGGGTAAGAAGCCTTAAAATATGTGCTACCGGTAAGACGTGCCTCCTGTCTAGCAGGGAGCTGAAAGGCTGCTTAAAGAAACCTGAATGCCATACCTGCATGCTTCCTGCACCTGGACTGGGGAGCTCTTCATCTGGTTTTATCTTCGAACGCTTGTTGTGCATTGGATCCCCAGTGCTGCTCACCGCTGACTCACTTGTGGGTTTATTCTGCTGTAGGCATTTCATTCCCCCAAAGACAAAATCAAACTGCAATAAATGTGTCATGCCAACCAGAAACACGCAGTATCTACTAAGCAACTTTATTTGGAGAAGCTATTCTGTTAATTGTATTGGATATGCTATTATTTTGTCCTTCAGTTATGCAGCATTAAGTTGCAGGACAGCTGCATCATTCAAACTGGTATCAGAGAGGCGAAAACATAAAGGAACCCATTCTGTGCAGCTCACTGTAGAAAGTATCACTGCTTTCATAGGGATGGGAAAGGGCAGGAAAAAGTTGATTTTCTACACAACTGTGAATTCAAAAAAAGGCAACTCCCATTTGGATATGTGAAATTATTGTGTTTTGGTTACAATTAACTTGAGCAGAATATGTATTTACATATAAGAAAGGCTTTGCATCTTATCTCCATAGAAGGAAACACTACCATTTTCTTGATAATTAGTGGTGACTTAGGGACAGAACAACATTAATAAGAAACCACAGGCAAAACTTCCACTAACAACACTGGAGCCTAGATTTCACCCCCTTTATCCCAGGCTGCTATATAGTGAATGCTGTCAATATGTATTAGTATTGGCAAATGGATCTGCTGAGTCCATATCTGAGTCTGCGTGGAGCCCACTGTAGTCACTGGGTCTTCACAGGGGCATGTCACAGCAAATTGATTTTCAGAAAATATATCCAGGGTATACAGCTGCCAGCACAAGAAGGAACTAATTCTATACTGATTAACAATGCTGATTAACAATGACAATGACAAGCATGGAAATGAATCCAAATTTTGGGCCTGACTCTTTACTGCGCTAGTCCTGTTTTATGCCAGTATAGCTGCACTGATCACAATGCTAAAGCCAGCCCCTGGAGTCAAATTCAGCATAGATCAGTAAAAAACATTGAAACATCATTGGTATTTCTCTGTATTTACACCAATGAGGCAGAGTCAAATCCCTCTCCCCGTTTTATTAATAAATTATTGGTCAGCAAATCGAGCAATTAGATTATCTTTAAACCAATTTGGGGACAAGCAATTGTTCACCTTTAAAATGTTAGGGCTTCTTGTATATGTTTTCCCTCCTCCCTCACTCCCTACCTGGATTAAGATGTCTGATCCAGGAGAGACAGTTTGGAATGAGAAGCCACTGCAGCTTACTGAAATATTTATGAGGGATAGAAAGCATTCTACCAATCAGAAATCATGGATGCACTCCTGTGATTTATAATAAGGGATTGCAAATGCCACAGCCGCAAGAAAGTTGTTAGCCAATGACTGTGGTGATTAATTGCTAACATGACAATGTGATTTTTTTAAATTAACAAGTTGCAAAGGTTTCTTTTGTTTTCTCTCACCTGTGTGGATTCAGAAGGGCCAGAGCTGACCTGGACAGGGTTCAGGACACTGGGAATGCCTGGGATAGGCCTCTGGGTAGGAAAAGTTGGAGCAGGATGGATGAGAGGAGGGCTGTGTCCAAAGGCTGAACCTAAGCTTTGCTGGCGACTTATAATTTGTTGATGCATCTGCTGAAGGGAAACCGGTGTGGGAGGGTATGTGAAACTCAAAGCAGGACTGGAGTTAGAGAGCAAAGCAGAAATAAAAAAGGAAAAGAGAGAGAGAAAGAGAAGGATCATCACTGTGTGCAACTGTACAGGTAAAAACTTTAAAATGTACCAAATGTATACATAAAAAAATCTCTTCCCATCATATTTTCCTCCACCCTCAAAACAAATAATGAACATAGGTGTAAAATTACAGTTCAAGGTTGAATTTATAAGTGAAAAGAAAAATCACACTCTAGCAACATTTTAAAATCTTTTTAAAAAAGATTCCCATTTACCAGGAATACATTGAAAGTGGCCTGAAATAAAAGGCAAGCAGTTCAATAACAGCTATTTATTGCAATAACAAACTTTATATAAAGAAAAAGAATGGGTGACTACGAGTTTTATAGTACTTTTATTGATAATGTAGTTCTGTATGTTCTCATCTATGAAACAATTTCTTTAATCTTGGTTCACGCTATACTTTTTCATATGTCTCTAGATCTTATTACAAGAGGAGAGAAAATCAATTGGTTAAATGTGTTTTGAACACCATGCTTGTCATATCACTCATTTGTTTGTAAAGATGGAAAGCTCAGTCCATCCAGAATGTCACCTAAAGAATTTCCATCACTGCCGTTTGGTTACAGAAACTGATGGATTAACCTTTCCCCTCTGAAATTGGTGATCAATGAGTTTCAATGTAGAAATATTCCAATGGGAAAGCATTTCTCCCTCTTCCAGTTACACAACATTAAATGTCTATTAAAGCCCATTATGCATGCGAATATCTGTCATCACTTCATTACTCTACTCTGTTTTTCAGACTACAGTGAGTTTGAGGAAATTACATTGTAGTCTGAAGAGATCTCTTCACTAGTTGATATTGCCAAACCATTCTTGGTGCCATACTTTGGAAATGAATTGTCTGGAATGAAATCATTGCAATCTGGAATGAAAAACTTGCAATCACAACAAAAATATCTGTATTCACAGATCTCACATCTCAAACTGGTTTATGGAAGCCTTCAAATGAAAAACATTTGGGCTTTTTTTTAAGTGTGCGCGCAATACCTTACAAGAATCAAGGTTTATTGTAATGTCAAAGGTGGATTTAATGCAAATTTAAAGTCTAGAGTCTTAATTACTGTTACTACTAAGCACATTAACTGAAAATATTGTGATACAAAAAGAATTAAAATCATTTCAACCATTTTAAGTAATAATTCTACAGATATTCAGTGTTCATTAATCTGACTATACATTTTGTCTGTTTGACTACAATCCATAAAGAGACAGCTTCAATGTGATTACATTACTATTATTCTTGGTGAGAACTCCACATTACAATAGTTTGCCCATTTAGGACAGAATATCATTAAGAATACCCTGGGAGAATTTTACCAGTCTTTGAGGAACTCTCTTTTCATTTTGCATTGTATTCTTTTTAATAAAGGGAAGCAGAAATGTAGTGAAAACAGTAATTGTTCACAGCAAGAGTTAGGGAGAAATCAGTAATAATATTCAGTTATTGCAGCCCTATAGTCCCTGCCAGTGTTCCTGTAAGCAACCATGAATGATTACAGCACGACTTAGCTAAGGTAGCCACTATGGATGATTGATAGGACATTAATCAAAAGATGCATATCAGGCTCAGAATTTGTTCACAAGCTTTCTTCTAATAGCTGATTTCATGTTCACTGAGCTCTATGCCAGTTTGTTCAATTTATTCTTCAGTGTACAAGCCATTCATCAAACAACACAATGATTTAACACCCCTTTTCCCTTTTAGTGAACAAACATTACTAAGTGTAACTACTCTGTTCTGTTCATTAAAAAAACATACAATTACAATGTCATACATGGGCCTGAAACAGCAGTTGCACTTCCTCACTATGCCCCTACATTTCTGTTTCTATAAATACTATAAATTAGTCACCTATTCTCTAAACACAAGGAGGCGCAGTCCCAAGGATCATACCAGTTTTCTGAGATCAACAAATGCAGAGTACAAATTATTTGGATGGAGTATATGATATTTTATTTCTTTGTGTTGGCTAGGGAATATGAGTTAGTTTGCATTTAGGACACAAGTCTCCCAGTTATCCAGGAACCACACCAGTTTAATGGCTGCACGGATTACAATGAGAACTGCAGGTGTGCAAAATCATTGAAAATGTAGCCACTTTCCTTTGGGTGTTTCCATATAGTTTTAGGAATATAATGTTAGGCCCCCAGGTTTGAAAAAACTCTTGCCAGTATTCTATAGGACATATATATTAAAAAAAAAGGAAGTTTAGTTTTTAATTTACAAGATACAAATGGCTAAAATATAGTCTTATAAACTTACATGAAATCCCTTTTAATTACACACACAGGTTCACTTGCATCCATGAGTACAATTTAGCCCTAAAAGAAGTAGTGCCTGAAATATCACTCAGACTCCAAACAGAGCTTTGTTTTGCCAAGGAATATGGAATAGGCTTCTTCATTACCACTGGTTAGAGCAGGGGTGCTCAACCTCTGGCCCATGGGCCAAATGTGGTCAGGAAATTTGACGGCAAGGGAGCAGTGGCAGCACTTCTACCCCTCCCCACTGCCAAAATTCCAAACTCCACATGGTGGACTGAAGACAGACCACAACCCCTTTCATCTGCACAGCCAGGCTGGGTTGGGGCTGGGCAAGGCCCATTCCCTGGTATGGCTGGATCAGGGCCAGGCTGCCTCCTGCATGCAGCCTGGAGCCCCAAAGCACCTGCCCAGGTCCCCAGATTGGGTCCACAGGCTGGATCTGGCCCACAGAGGGACTGGGCACTGCCTGTCCAGCCTGCTGGATGAAAAGGTCGAGCACCACTGGCCTAGAGACATTGTAATTTGGAATATGGAATTGGTTAGCTTAGGCTCAGGGACTTTTGCAGGATAATGTGAAAACTACAAGGACTCCCACAAAGGGATTTCATTTGTCAATTTATATATACTGAGTTGAATGAATCATATGTGTAATATTCTCTACTTCAGTGGAAACAAACCTTTCTGGCAGGCATGCCACGCCCTCTTGAAAGTGCCAATCCAATCCCTTTTCCTTATGCAAGCTGATCCCTGCCTGATCTGATGCCAACCTGTTCCCTGACCTACATGATCCTGTGATGCCTGCCCCTCCACCCTCCCTGCAATCTGCCATGTGCAACACATAGAGGCTTCTCCTGCCACTTGTGGCACCTGTGCCATAGGTTGGTCACTCTTGTCTTAATTCATCCTTTTAAAGAGAAGAATAGAAGTCATCCAAATAGGCCTTCTCTGGGCCAACACTCCCACTTTCCACTACTGAACTCATCTGATGTTACTAAGAGCAACACAATCATCTTATCTCAAATATTAAGATGTCTTTCTCACCAAAGGACAACAGCAGCTCAACCATATCAAACTTGGGGAAAACTCTCAGTGTAGTCAAATAGTGCTACATTTCACATAACGGTTCTCCACTGTGGAAATGTCCTCTTTAAAATGAAACACTCTAAGTGATATATGACTTCTGCCCCTACAACAGGGCTGGGCAAAATGCAGCCTGCAGGCTGGATGTGGCCTGCTAGGTCATTCTATTCGGCCTGCGGAGCCCCTAAAACATTTGGAAAATTAATATTTATCTTTCCCTGGCTGCCTTTCATGTGGTCCTTGATGGCTTGCTAAAACTCAGTAAGCGGCCCTCCGCCCAAAAAATTGCCCGCCCCTGCCCTACAAAGTTGTCTTAGCTCCTATTCACTAGTAAGATGCATGAAAAATATAAACTTTGTTCTGTAGAAACATTCTCTTTCTTCGTATTTGCTTTTGCTAACACACATTGTCAAAGAGTAAGATTTATTCTATACCCACGTAAGTGTAAAGTAGCTGGCATGTATTAAACAAATGACTTAAAATGATAATGGCCATAGACTGCTGTCTCATAAGCCCTTTCTTCATAGGAAAGGCATGATCAGGGAAGGCATGATTCCCTGCAGTTTAACTCCTCCATAGCAATATATACCTAAACTTGGCACTTCTGAGCTGTCACACTTGCAACAAGCAAGCAGCTACAAGCACTGTAGACAAACTAGACTCTTTTTCCATCTTTGCGGCCAATGGTGTATTCTGGAAGGTAGCAACTTCACTGGTAGATGAATTAAGACTTAGCAGAGGAAAGATTTGCTGGAAAGGGGAGGAATCCTGGCACCAGTACTGCCTCCCTTTCGCTCAGTAACCTACTGCAAGGAGAGAGAACAAGGTATTACAGTCTTAATGTATAGTTATGTGTAGCCTGGTAATCTAGAATTCAGTCCGTACACCTCCAAGATTCAGACACATCAGACTAAAACAAAGAGCCATTTAGATGAGGTGAGGTAATATATGCCAATACGCTAATGCAGAGCAGATTAAGTCTAATGCGCAGTAGTGTCACCAAAAAAACATTCATCTGCCCTAATACACAATAGCACCAATTACAGTGCATTGTTAGTACCTGTTATGACAGGTATTAACTTAATGTCAATTAATGTGCCATAATAACAACACAAAAACGAATGTGTAGATGCATCCACAGGGATTAGCTAGTAGATCTGACTGGAAGTACTCAAAAGTGGCAAGCTCTGCAGAGACATGGGGCTGACATCTTAATTAGTTCAGACTCCTGCCTCAGAACAATTCTCTCAAACTGTTTCTGAAAACCACGTTGCAGGCTGGGCTCAAAGTCATCTTTATACAGGAGGGTGTCATCAGGAGAGTCAGGCTGGTCATTCACAGAAGAGTGGAAGCAGAAAGGATCAGAAGATGCCTAAAGAACACTGTCTCAGCTCTTTTGCTGTGTTTGAGAAATCACTCAAACTGCTGAACTTTGCAGTTGATGGTAAGGTCCAAAAATATCTTGGTACACAGAATTGCTGACAATAAGTGATAATCTGGAATGGAGTTCCTAACTTAGCATGTGGCAAGTTTAACAAGACCAGCAATACAGCCTCTCTATCTAAAAGCAGGGGAATCACATTCACTGTACTGGAA